CCTCCATTGTTGCTAGCTCCTGGGCTAACGCATCCCTCTCGTCCTGGGGCACATAGAACTCTGCCTCCTCATCCTCCCCCAACGATAAATTAGCTATCCACTCGCTGATCTTCTTCTCCATTGCGGCATCCTCATTTGTCGTGCCACTGCTTTCTCCTCTCTCCTCTATATGTCTTCTCCCCTTTTCTTCTTCTTCTGCTGCTTTCTCTTCGACAACCTTTCTCTTCTCTTCCTCCTCCTGCTGAATCCTCATCATCTCTTCCTCCAATTTCTTCCTCTTCGCCGCCTGCTCCTCTGCGATCGCCTTCAACCTCCTTTCCTTATTTTCTCTCACTAAGGCGACAATCTTCTCTTGTTGTTCCTAGGTGTAGGGGCTAGTGCTCTTCCCACTGCGGGTCTCAACCATGGTGTCAGTGCACAACCGGATTAACGGTTCCAAACCTCACCACGTAGACTCTAACCCCTGACTGACAAACCTATAGACTCAATCTAAAGACTCACATAATCCGGACAGGGATCCTGCCAACTAGGATCTCTAGCCTAGACCTAACTACGGCTGTCACTACTAGACTTGTTGCTGATCAGGAGGCATTTAAGGAGATCCCCCGTAACTCCTCAGGAACTATTTAACATCGCAGACAGGACTACGCGATCAGCAGGTCTCTCAACACTTAGACGACCTGTTGTGCAGCCCACAGCTCGGATTTTGGGCCTACCGTGCCACACCGAGCAGCCCGCCGGTCAGTACCGGTCCTTGGGAGGGTTCGTGTCCTCCGGGACAGTCGAGTCGTCAGACATAGTCTTTAGCCCTACTCAGCCCGTGTGGGTTTGGTCAACAAGGCCCTATCCTTCATCCACAGAGTGCTATCACCTAGACAGAAGAGACTCAATGCAGAAAGAAGAGAGAGACAGACAGACTGGACTCAGCAAGTACCACAGGGTGTGTGCACATCCATAGGGCGAGGGATAGACTGAAGGCTTGGCGAGATTATACCAGCTCCAGCTTGGTCAACGCCTTGGTAACGTCGGTCAACGCTGCGGTCTACTCCCGGTCAACCCTCGGTCAACTTGGTCAATGTCGGTCAACGCTACGGTCAACCCCCAGTCAACCCTTCGGTCAGCTATGGCTGCCGGCTTCTCTTTCCCTCACCAACCTTCTTCCTCCTTTCACCCTGCTGTCTTCTTTCCCTTTTTTTTTTTTTTTTTTTTTTTTTGTTCGCCTCTCCTTCCTCCTCCTCGGCTATGGTTTCCCTCTCTTTCCTCGGTCTCCCCGTCTGTCCACTCTCTCTACCTTCTTCGTCACTCCGTGGTCAAGTTCCGCAGCTATGGCCGCAATCTTCTTCTTCGTGGACTGCGCGGCAACTTCACAGGTACGTAACAGCCAAACTTGTATCGCTCATCTCTCTCTCTCTCTCTCTCTCTCTCTCTCTCTCTCTCTCTCTCTCTCTCTCTCTC